TTTTTTTTTACTAACTTTATTTATTAATTTGTAGGATAAGAGGCTGCTTGGTTTAAATATCAAAATTTTAGGATTTGTAATCTTATAGAGAATTTCAAATTCATAAGATTTTATACACGTTTTGGGATTTCTAATATTTTGTTTGGTTTCAACATTTTCATAGAAAGGCAAATCTTAAGATTTATAGGGAAAATTGTTAACTATTAATCATTATATGTTAACTATTATACGTAACATGTTAACTATAATACGTAACATGTTAATCTTAATTGGTAAATTGATAACTATATTCAGTAAACTATTAACTATAATCCATTATATGTTAACTGTTATTTGTAATTTGTTAACTATTATTTATATATAATAGTTAACATGTTAACTATAATAGCTATCAGTTTATATATAATAGTTAACATGTTAACTACAATAGTTAACATCTTAACTACAATAATTAACATATTAACTATAATAGTTAACATGTTAACTTCAACAGTTAACATGTTAACTACCCTCCTTCCTCGACGCCCCTAACAAACTCTAGGGGCCGCTATAAAACCCCCCGATGGCAATGACGACTGGCGCCGTAACCACTGCTCTCTCCTCCGCTCTTTGCTTCGCGCGGTTGCAGAGCCGACATGTCCTTTTCTCTCGTCGATTTTGCTTTGGTGGAAGGGTTTTAATGGCAATGAGGTTCACTATGCAGGCAACGCTCAGCCTCACAAAGCCCTCCGTTGTTGAAACCCCTCATGTTTGTTCCATTATTATCGTTGGCTTGCTGATGGGTCTTCGTCAAGTTGGGCTTTTGGCGTGTAGATTACTTGTTTGATGAAATTTCTAAGAGATAGTTTAGTTAATTCATTTTGCATTTTTAGAAGTTCCTAAACTTAGAATTATCTTCAGTATTATTGTATATTATTGGGTTTGTTTAATTGAAGGGAAAATTGCTTGGAGGAACCAAAAAAAGTTTGGCTATTCTCCCCAGTCCAAAAAGCATTACCCTCAAGCCCTTATTCTGAAAAAGAAGTGCAAGTAACCCCCAAACAGTGTACTGGCCCCTTCCCCAATAAAGACATTCCCAAATTACCCTTCCCAAGTTAAATCGTCCTCCATCCTTCACAAATTTTGAGAGCCTGAGCTCTTCATCCGCCGGAATCCCCCACTCCTCCCTCATCTTCACGCTATCTCCGTCGTCAAGATCGAAGCTCGACCAGATCGGCGTCGCCTCCACCGCCGCCTTCTTCCTCATCATGATGATCCGCCGCCTCTAGATCCGCCGCCTATGCCTCTTCATGTGCGCTCGCCGGCAGATCGCCGCCGGCAGCTTTGGTCCAATTTTTGGTCTGGGTCACTCTCACTGTTTTCTGGGTCACTTTCACTGTTTCAACCAATGTACTTTGGATAAGCAATTTGAATAAATTTTATTTGACAAGGTTTTTAGAGTTATTAGTTCATAATTCAGTTTTGTGGGTTTTAACATTTGCAAAGGTTTCAATTTCTGCTTTGTGTATTAGACAAATAAAAATATTACCGAGGGTGAGATGCATGCAAGCCGTCATCAATTAGCCCTGTTACCATCCAAATTTGCCAAACCCTAATTGATTCAGGATATATATTTATGCCCGAAGAGTCAACATTCGGTAGGTTTTTTTCCGAATAATTTTTCAATCCACTGGAATTAGATGCCTACTTCTTCATCCTATTTCTTTTTCTTCTTCTTCTTCTTCTTCTTCTTCTTTTTCCTCTTCGGCTTCTTCGATCTCGGAGTCGTCATCTTGATTTTCTCTTTCTGTTCTAAACTTTAGATATTGGTAGTATATGTCTGGAGTTCTGAGCACGAGACTCTCAAATTTTATGAGGGTTTTTGAGAAGTTATAAAGGCTTAAAATATGTCCTTTTTTAATCTTGGAAACTAATTAATAACTTATCTACAGACACGTGTAGCTCGAATTCTCCATGATCTGACACGTAACTTATATATATATATATACACTTGACAGCGGTTTTTCATCTTTAATATTTTTTTTACTAACTTTATTTATTAATTTGTATATATATACACTTGACAGCGGTTTTTCATCTTTAATATTTTTTTTACTAACTTTATTTATTAATTTGTAGGATAAGAGGCTGCTTGGTTTAAATATCAAAATTTTAGGATTTGTAATCTTATAGAGAATTTCAAATTCATAAGATTTTATACACGTTTTGGGATTTCTAATATTTTATTTGGTTTCAACATTTTCATAGAAAGGCAAATCTTAAGATTTATAGGGAAAATTGTTAACTATTAATCATTATATGTTAACTATTATACGTAACATGTTAATCTTAATTGGTAAATTGATAACTATATTCAGTAAACTATTAACTATAATCCATTATATGTTAACTGTTATTTGTAATTTGTTAACTATTATTTATATATAATAGTTAACATGTTAACTATAATAGCTATCAGTTTATATATAATAGTTAACATGTTAACTACAATAGTTAACATGTTAACTACAATAGTTAACATCTTAACTACAATAATTAACATATTAACTATAATAGTTAACATGTTAACTTCAACAGTTAACATGTTAACTACCCTCCTTCCTCAACGCCCCTAACAAACTCTTGGGGCCGCTAAACCCCCCGATGGTAATGACGACTGGCGCCGTAACCACTGCTCTCTCCTCCGCTCTTTGCTTCACGAGGTTGCAGAGCCGACATGTCTTTTTCTCTCGTTGATTTTGCTTTGGTGGAAGGGTTTTAATGGCAATGAGGTTCACTATGCAGGCAACGCTCAGCCTCACAAAGCCCTCCGTTGTTGAAACCCCTCATGTTTGTTCCATTATTATCGTTGGCTTGCTGATGGGTCTTCGTCAAGTTGGGCTTTTGGCGTGTAGATTACCTGTTTGATGAAATTTCTAAGAGATAGTTCAGTTAATTCATTTTGCATTTTTAGAAGTTCCTAAGCTTAGAATTATCTTCAGTATTATTGTATATTATTGGGTTTGTTTAATTGAATGTCAAAGATTTTATACCATCTGTTTGAAGAAATATCTGATAGACTGTTGATATTTATCGTTAAAATTATTTATTTTTATGATGAATAATGCAAACATTTATCAGATGACAAGTTTATGATGAAAATTCCACCATTTGGATATTTCAAAAGCCTATTTAGGTAGGGGTTCTCACTCAAAACTGTATTAATATTTGATATATGGACTGAGGATGTACGCCGGATTTGTTTCAGCCTGAGAAATGGAGGAAGTTCGTAACATGTTATCCATAGCACGTAACATGTTAACGATAATAGTTAACATGTTAACTATTAAAGTTAACATGTTAACTATTGTAGTTAACATGTTAGGGAAAACATGAGCTGGGGTCATGAGTTGAAGTCATGATGAAGGGGTAAAATTGGGTTTTTGGGTAAAAAATATAAAAAATCGGAAAAACATGAGCCGAAGTCATGATGGAGGGGCTTGGGCAAACGTTTTTCAAATTTTAAGGGCTGCAGCACATTGGTAAAAGTAAGGGGCTGGGGCACATTGATTTTTGAATTTTGGGGCCATGAAGCAAATTTTTCAAGAAAATTTGAGAAAAGTTTATTTGTTGTTCCATGTAAGTTAAAAGGCCATTGATGGCTTAATGAGAAACAAAAATCATATAGTTTGTTATGTGGACCAATTATGTTTTTTTTAACATTCTACAATCCTGAATATTTTAAATAGTCCACGCAAACAAATATATAAAAATATTTCAAACAAATATTTAAGTATGGTTGGAGGTTCCAATATAGTTCCTAAAACTATTCCCGTATCAATATATATTTAAGATAACTTATGTAAAAAAATATTTTCGAAAAAAATAAATAGATATCACTGGTTTAGATATGACAAAACTTTTACTCCAAATAAATCTCTTTGTATTTCCATCGGCGCCCTCGTCCTCCAGTGAGAAAGCCCTAATGCAACCAAACAACATGCCAATAAACTCTTAATTATCGAGTTAAATTGTAGGCAAATGGAATGCTTGTACTTTATGATGATGTTACTCATTAAAGTAATAGACTAAGATTGTGAATTTTTGTCAAGTTATAAATAGATAAAAAAAAGAGCATAACTCAGATACTTGCATAGATGGAAAATGATGATTCACGAACTTAACATTTTAACTTAAAGAATATCTAGTATGAATGGTACCTAGCAATAAAGATACACCTAAAGGATGTCAACCCTTAAATTTGTGGATAAATTCCGAAATCCAATAATGTAAGGTCTAGCATTCATTTGAAGGATATTTAATGTTACGGACCTAAGCGCACATGAAATTTTTACGTGAGAGAAAAAATGGAAAAGTGCACCTAAATAATGTCAACCGTTGGATCATTAGATTTCAAGAGTCTTGTGTCCAAATTCAACGGTTGACATCCTTTTCGTGCACATTTAATGTCGGGTCGTCCCCACCGGATGGTTTCTTAAGAAAGAGAAGCCCAAGCTTTCACAACTTCACCATAAATTTGATTGCTCTTTCTTCAGTTCTTTTGACATCCACCATTAACATAATTCCCAAGCTTTTTTTCTTAAAGTTTTCAATAGCATTCTTCCTGGAAAACATTATTGATTGACTCTGTTCTTGCAATGTAAGTTTATGAGCATGAATAAAGTGCTATTTCGACATAACAAGGAGAAAAAACATTGAAGAATAGACAACGATTTCAGCTGGCTAATTTCTTAAGAATAGTCCTATATGTGCAATCAAAAATACCAAAACTAAGTCCTATATGTGCAATCAAAAATACCAAAACTAACTATCCATATGTGCTTAAAACCAAACATGAAAAGAAAGCAACTTTGAAGATAAACGCCAAGCTTACAATTGAGGTTGAGATAAAAATCACAGAAACATCAGTTTTACCCTCTGCAGAGAAACACGACAAATAAACTAAAGAAATCATCCAAAGATGATCAAACGCATAAAATGCCCATATGTTGAAACACTAGTGAAGATATAAGGAAATTTTAACAATCAAAACCATTAGCATAGATTTCCATAAACTCCCTCATGCTCAAGTTTTTTGCACATAAAAGGAAAGACAATAGATTATTGTTTTAACAACTTGAAAACATCCCAATACGTTATTACCTACAAAAGACCAGAACAAACGTCACCAGAAGTCTTAAAGTAGTTGATCTCATACTTCCAAAGATGGGGTTGATTAATTGATGCAGAAACTCACAGGCATTTCTTATTCAATCTTCCGAATGGCCGAACCAATGAAATCCTAACTATCAATCGTTAATGTGATAGTCCTCCGATTCCAAATCTCAATCAATATCTACATGTCAACTTGCAAGTGAAGAATTGTCCGATCGAATATTCTGCATTCGGAAAGCGTGAGGCTGTCCTCCAGCTCTGTGACATCACAAAAAAGCCTTTGTTTGGTTGCATCAATATCCTTCATACCCTCAACTATCAGCTTGATATCTCGGATAGTATACCAAGATCTTGCTTCAAGTTTTATAAGATTCCCATTCATTGTGCAGAGTAAGATATCAAACTTATCCACTGGACATAGAATCATCTGGAGGGTTGAACCATTTTGTATATTGCAAGCAAGTAATGAATGGTCATCTTCAAGAGATTTTCCCATGTAGATGAGTCCTTGACGATTCTGACAAATTCCCTCCATAGCTTCAATCCTAGCCTTCACATTTTGGATGGTATCTTTGTCGTTCACCACGAGCTTCAAAGTTTTCCCAGTTGAAAGGATCTTTACAAATATTTGAATAGTGCCTCCAAACAAAAGGTTGATCATGGAATTTTGGCAGATGTTGTAGTCAGCTAATGTCTTCGATGTGTCACTTAGGTGGTTGCCTTCAAAAAATAACTCTTGGTCACTCGCTGACAGTCCCTCCCGTGCAAAAACCTTTGATTTAATATCGCGAATTGTGTCTGAGCTTTTTACCACCATCGACAAAATTTGTTCAATTTGCAAATGGATCTGAAACTGTAGTATTAAGAAAGAGAGTAAAGAACGATATAAAATATTAAGTCTAACAATTTGGAGCTACGAGAAAAAACTGTACACGTAGTTATGTGATAATGGAAAAAACAAATTAAGGTACATAAGACGACCGCTAAGATAGCTAAAGAAGAAGAGCTTTTAATAGATACAAGATTCTCATTTTTGACGCAATAATAGGAAATGCTACTTATAGTTGAAATATGGGATCATATCGAGCATGCATACTAAAGCAAACAATATTGGAAGAAAGTACCTTATTCACGTGCATCAGATACCTATGTGCTCAATCTATTAAGGCACTGAACATAAGATGGATCAAGTTTATGACTTTTTCCATGACCACTTATCTTCCTGACTCCAACCATTGAATCTGTAAATTCCTCTCCAAGTGATTATGAAATAGAAAGCACCTTCCATAAACTACAAAAGACCATATGGTGGGTAGGGAAATTTAAAAACTTACCTTACTGTTACGACATCTTTAAGCATGGATGCAGATACATAGAGTTAGACTTGGAAAGCTTCAAGGAAATCTAAAAAGCCCAAGATGTCTCCATGCAAAATGAACGATGAATGATTAAAATAAAATGAGTGACAAAAACTCTGAAATTATTGGTCAGTTGTTCAACCCATCGGAAACTTCCAAAATATCAGTTGTAAATATCATTCTGTGTGTTCTTTATATATTTATTCCAAAATGTGTACAACATGATCGGTCATGCGCTAAAACAAAAGTTAAAAAGTCAAGTCGTAGAAATACCGTTGTAATGACAGGAGGTGTTTGGCAATCTGAAAGTGAAGGTGTATATGTGAACAGAACCATTTTTGACAAACATTAAAAGGACATCAGAAAGACGTTAAAGAGACAAGATATTTGGCAACTCTAAAGTCAAGTGTGAAAAAGATGCCAAGTAGGAGCACAGTTTTAAATATCGAATATCGGGGAATACTGGACAGTGAAAATCCTTATCAGATGGTGGAAATTGGGAAAATATCAAGGATATGTAATAAATATTGTGGTTACATATCAGATGATTTGCATATATAATATAACGCCCTAAAAGTGTAATTTAAACATACCTAATAAAATCTAAGCACACAAATATGCAGATTATATATGTTTTGGACTAACCAATTGTAGAAACTTAGGGAAAAGCGCCTACTAGAGGTTGCTAAAAACTTCGTAGCGTTAGAATGTTTCCTAAAAAATTAAAAATAATTTCGCAGAACTATATTGTTTTGCAACAAACCATATAAAAGGACATGTCGGCTGATATATCCGCCATGTCGGGGATATCTATTGCCCAAAATTTGCCCAAAATGCCATAAAAGATATGGAGACTATATCATTCTGTGCCAAGACTTATAAAAGGATATATCGAATATATTGGGGATATGTAAAGCAATGAGTAGGTACATGTACGATAAAAATAAAAAGCAATGAAAATCCCATTTTCAATACTAAAGAGAAAGGGTGAGATGAAAATGTGAAAGTAATAAATGTGTGGAATCCATATGGAAGATATCCTTTCTTTGTCTTGAAATTATATCATTTCACATTTTCATCTCCTTTATTTGTGTCTTGAAATTGTATCATTTCACATTTTTATCATCACCTTCAAGTTGCCAAACAAACCTATAAACATTAATTTTTTCACAACCTAATAGTTCTCAATCCATATCAGGTCCAATCGTACAATAAGAAGGTCTGAGACTTTGAAATCTTAGCAGTATTTATAGCTTTTACTCATCTTTATTGGTGTATGGAGTGTGGGTGGTTAAGAATTTTGGAACCAAGTTATTGATTTGAGAAATATGAGAAGTGTCTAAACATTGGGTTTTACTAATTTTGTATTTTTGCCTAATGTACCACTAGAAAGCAACTTCTTTGTATTTCGAACCTTAGATAGCCATTGTAAAATATACATTATTGGCCAATTCCTTTAGTTATATTAGGCGATATCAATGATATCGATAAGATACTTTCACGCCACGGGTCTGCGTGGGTTCATTGGTCCTATTCAACCCCTACGACCCACTGCGTGAAACATGTTGTTTAGCTCAATCCAACGCAAGAACTGATATCTATTTTTGCTACATGACTCCGTTGACTAATTATATAAACCCATCCATATTCGAACATACATTGATGCGGGACTACACTATTTTGGGGTATCACGATCATCTCACCTTAATTAGATGACACCCTCATCATGCCATGACAATAATCCATTTATGATCACCATCGACCAAAGTGGATTCTAGAGGTAGCTCCAATGGGTTCTAGAGGTGATTCCCACTGCCCTTACACAATGTAACACTTAGTCTCACATATAACCTAGTTTCACACTTCTGGTTGGTTGACTGCTATTGTATCATTTATTAGGCTTCAGGCACGTGCGCCTATTGGCGTGATATAAGCCCTGAGACCCATTGAGTGAAACAAGTTTTTTCTATTCATCGCTAAAAGTGCTACCTATTGCTAATACTTGACTTCCTTGACTAACTACATTCACATTGCTAATACTTGACTTCCTTGACTAACTACATTCACATAGACAACTGATGTAGGACTATACCATTTTGGGGTATCCCAGTTTTAAACGGATCATTTAGCTTGTCTAAAATCCAATATAATATGTTTGTCACTTGAAATATTGTTATCTACATTTGAGAAGTATTGTTTTCATCCATATAGAATTTTAGGGTTCTACTAAGACACTACTTTTCTCTCAATTCCATTCTCAATACAATTTACAACTAGTTCAAAGAATCTTTCTTCTCCCTCTCTTTTGCTTATCTCTGCATCACTGTATAAGGGAAAGATGTTGTTTCATTTTCATAAATATGCATCCTCTTCCTTCAATCATTTATGTGTCTTGATAAATTTCTTCATGTTCAAAACCTTCCAATATAGGACGAAGACCAAGTAGAATCACTTGATAAATTTCTTCATGTTCAAAACCTTCCAATATAGGACGAAGACCAAGTAGAATCACCTTTATACTATTCAATAACTAATTACGTGTTTGTACGTCTTTTAAATGATTTGTTGATATCTTTTTTGCTTCTACTTTTTTAAATATTTTTCTCTTTTTTGAAGTTTAAAGTGTAGAAGATAAAGAAGATAATTAACTCAAAAGGAAAGGAATAGTTTTATTTACCTTTTATCTTTCAAAAAATTTAAGGACCAATATTTTCTATTTCCCCCCTCATTTGCTTCTCTATACAAGGAGAGATATTCCATGTGAGCTCAAGCGACATTTAGCCAATTGAGATATTTGACATAGTGAACAAATTGAAAATTCACAATCATCATTCAACTTTGAGGAATTACAACCACCAATATCAATGTTTCATGCACATTAACATAAGGGTTCCATGCATGCACGTTCAAAAAAAGTAATATTTAATGTAATGAAGCAGTTTCACCAGTACTTATTTCACGCTAAAAGGAGACGAAGCCACACTAGCTTCATCAAGACCCAAATGCTTTTGAAGAAAGTTTTACCAAATCATTCCAAAAGAGGACACATCCAAACACAATGTAGTGCAATCATGAATATATGATTTCCTGTAGTAGTTGTGAGGCACAAAAGATATCTTGAGATGGCTAAGGTTAAATAGTAAGTTGGAAGAAAAAGTTCACGATGAATTTACTTATTTCTAAAATAATGTTTTGTAGATTTTAACAATAGAATGTAATAAACCACAGTTGCATGGAACCACGTTCATCCAGTTCACAGGACGGGTATGGAAGCATGGTACACCACCCATTAGGAATTGGGTATGAGGTGGGTAGACTTATATGACACGCTAGGTATGTGGTACGCTTTAGGTTCAGTTTTTAAATGTAGGAATTAGAGGTTTTTCAAGAGTCAACTTTAAGAAATATGCTAGTTGATATAACTAATGGTAACACTTAAAAAAACTTGAGAATCATGTTGCAATAAGGTATGCATACTTTATTTGCTTAAGTTCTCGCATTTCTTGTTATTTATTTTATTCTTTTAAAAAAGAGTTTGTTTTTTTCCAAAACTATAACTAGTATGAATTCTAAATTGGGTTGTGTTCCACGCGAATCTGGGACAATAACCTAGGTCATGATTCTCTATGGCGTCCCAAGTTCTCAACTTCTATGCAACAAACACAGAGAAAAATGATAGAAAACATGACGTAGATTGCTACTGAGGAAAGACGGAGTTAACGGGGATGAGTCCACCGTCTTGGTGGAGATATGAGACTTTTAGAAGAAGAATGATGTTTATCTACTTAATCACAAGCGGTTAATGTCTCCAAGCCATGATTGATCAACGCTTCAAATGTAAAGTTATATGTGTTAGAATCATTTCATGCACACCCAAGTCTTGAATATGATCATTCATTTTTCTTTCCTTTTTGTTATTTTCTTTTATGAATCTTCCGTCAGTGTGTTGTGAAGGTCAGACATCAAAATGAAAAGACTTGTTGAAGACCTCACTAACAATATATAACTTGTTCGTGGTTACTGATAAGGATAGGGGAGTTGCAAGATGGTTTACTCCATCTTGTATCAAAGCTTCGCACGTTGAAAAGAAAAGACCAACAAAGACAGATTTTCGAAGTCTACCCTGGTGAATGGAGTTCTGATTGGATTTTGGAGGGATGCAATGATTTTTTCAACACAAGACGGTGATTATTAATGGAGCCGATTGGATGCTGCCAATCAGGAAGAGAATTTTTCTGGATGGAGTCGGCTAACAAGGACTTTGTTGATCATCGAAGCAACCATTGAGAATGCTTATTGCATGGAAATCGTGAAATGAGAATGTTCTTTCTTTTTTACGCGATAAACGAGACAAGAATATAGTTGAGATGTTGGAAGTCAATGCGACCTCAAAATAATCAGTTGACGATAGTGATCAGATCTGAGCAACAACCTCCTAAAAAGGAATCTCATATCAGAAGACATCTAGTACAAATAATAACCTTAAACATATTGG